TTCAAAAATAAAAATATTACCACTTTCTCAAAACCACATAAAACCAATATTTACTTAAAATTCAAGATTACAAATAAATTATGCAAAAGTACAACTTATCAAAGCTCGATTTTTGAATTCGTATAACTAATTGCGGATAAATATAATCAAATAAAGGATAAACATCTTATTTTAAAATATAAAAAATCTAAAATATATAATTAAGATAATTATCGATTAGTTCTTTTTCTTTTTCAATCAATGTAATAAAGTTTCAAAATTTGTTATTTTATTCTAATTTTGATCAGTAATTGACATATTGTAACATTTGATGATGTGGATTCCCATTTATATAATGTTTATAGATTAGGACTAAAGCGATAATAAACTTGACATTCACATCAGTGAAAATGTATATAAAATAAAGTTATTTGAAATTCTGTTACATTGATCGATCGAGAAAAAGATTATATGTTATCCTTAATAAAAACTAAAACAAAATTCGTTTATCCTTTTATTAAATAATAAAATATAATAAGGCTTAAAAGCAAAGCGTTCGTCTTTTGTTTTGAACTTTTGTTCGTCGTAAACGGTATGCAAGTTCTTGAAAAAAAATTCCAAAATCGCACTGCTACTTCTTATAAACGTACCCAAAAATCGTGAAGTACGTGGTAATTTAAGCATTTGTTTATTTATTTAATCAAGGCGTTTTAGAAGATGGTTTTTCCTTTACGATTTTGTTTTATATTGTGAAATTTCAATTTTTATCGGTTTAATTAATCTTTTTAGTGAAGATATATGCAAGAAAAGATTTCAAAGAGGTAAATTGAAAGACACTGATAAACCGTTTCAAGTTGTTCTACAAGAGAAAAACGACAAATGCAAGCATAAATCGTTCAAGCGCGTATTGCTTACCATCGTTCTCGCGACTCTCATTGTGATTACCTACTCAATTGCCATTCGTCAACATGGATACGTTTCCCACCACATTTCTCAGTAAGTAAACGTTATACGAGTATAAAGTTAAAGAAAATATACCTTCACAGCAAAACACTATATATATATATATATATATATATATATATATTATATATATATATGTATCAAGAACGTTACGTTACGTTAAATATTCAACTATTTGACAAACGTTACGTTTTTTTATACAAATATAGGCGACATCTTATGAACATATGGAAACGGTCACGAGGACTGGATCACACATATGCCTCACATTCAAACATCGAATGGGATGAGATCTCGATAGTTGTCAAGAAAATAGCTGACAATGATGGAATTATTAATGGGATCGGATTGTTGAACTTCAACGAAAGGGAGATCTTTGAATGGAACACGCGGATTTTCCCATATAGCAAAAATCACATCGTCTTGCATCTTGACTCGGCCGATGAAAACGTGACATGGGATTCGTTATATCCAGAGTGGATCGACGAGGAACAAGAGGATAAAGTTCCAAAATGCCCGATTCTACCTCAACTCGACGTTCCTAAAGAAAAGCTTGAGGTGATCGCAGTCAAGCTTCCTTGTAGAAACCAAGGGAATTGGTCTAGAGACGTGGCTCGCCTTCATTTGCAACTTGCAAGTGCCGGTCTAGCCGCTTCGGCTAAAGGGGATCGAAAGGTGCATCTGCTCTTCATTTCCAGTTGCACCCCGATCCCAAATCTGTTTCCGTGTAAAGAACTCGTGATTCGTCGAGGCAATGCTTGGTTGTACCAACCCAATTTGATGGTGTTGAGGGAGAAACTACAGCTTCCTATTGCATCTTGTGAACTTTCATTTCCCTTCAAGCCTCAAGGTGAGTTGACTTTCTAAAATTGGAAAGGTCAAATATATCCAATTTTGACTTTTGAATCACTTCTTTTCTCCACAAGTAATTGGTTACTTTTAGAAGTAGGTGTTTCCAGTTTTATTTCAGTACTCCATTTATTATTAAAGATAAAATTGTCATTTATATAATAAAAAATATGATAATTGCATATTTCTAAAACTGTTTTTTCATTGTGAACATTTATTTTTAAAAGGAGGTAGTATGATTGAAAGATTATCCGATAGCAAGTTTGACTTTTAAAGTCAAAATAAACATCGAAAGTTTGACAAAAATCATGATTTGGTTTCAAACCCTTAACTTCGTTTTATCGGTTTGTTCAAAACAGATGGAGATTACGTTGGTGATGCCCGACGAGAAGCGTACGTAACAATCCTACATTCGGCTGACGTTTATGTTTGTGGAGCGATCACGGCTGCACAAAGCATTCGGATGGTAGGGTCTACTAGGGACCTCGTGGTACTTGTTGACGAAACGGTTAGCGACTACCACAGAAGTGGACTTGAGTCCGCAGGATGGAAGATTCGAACGATCCAACGAATAAGAAACCCTAAAGCCGAAAATGGCACGTATAACGAATGGAACTATAGCAAGTTTCGGTTATGGCAGCTAACTGATTACAAAAAGATTATCTTCATCGACGCTGATATGCTTATCTTTAGAAACATTGATTTCCTTTTCCATATGCCCGAGATTTCCGCCACGGGAAACAATGGGACGCTTTTCAACTCGGGCGTCATGGTGATAGAACCGTCAAATTGCACGTTTCAACTTCTTATAGATAATATCGATAAAATAACATCATACAATGGTGGCGATCAGGGATACTTGAATGAAATCTTCACATGGTGGCATCGAGTTCCGAAACACATGAATTTCCTGAAAGATTTCTGGATTGGTGATGACGAGGAAACCAAGACGAAAAAAACACGTCTTTTCGGGGCAAATCCACCAATCATCTACGTACTTCATTACCTCGGGTTGAAGCCGTGGTTGTGCTTTCGAGACTATGATTGTAATTGGAACGTGGATATATTACGAGAGTTCGCGAGTGACGTGGCACATAATAATTGGTGGAAAGTGCACGACGCAATGCCAAGTCAATTGCAACAGTTTTGTCTTTTGTCATCAGAACGAAAAGCACAACTAGGGTGGGACCGATATCAAGCCCGAAAGGCGAATTTCACGGACGGTCTTTGGAAAGTTAAGATTCAAGACCCGAGAAAGAACATTTGCATCGAAAACTTATGCCCACGGAAAATTAACCGGTCTCATGATTGGAGTTCCCGTCCTACTCCATCAGCAACCGCTAGATCGTTCTGATTACTAAACTCGTGTCTTCTTGATATATATATATATATATATATATATATATATATATATTGTGTGTGTGTGTGTGCGTGCACGTGTGTGTCGGTTTTGATCTTTCATAGTGTTATTTGTTTTCATTTTGTACATATAGCTATCGGTTTTGCTCTATACTTTCATGAGATCTTACAAACCCAATCATTGAAAATTTTGGTTGTGAAAATGTACAACTTCAAACGATTATAAAACTTAAGTCGAGTAGAGTTCTACGAATCGAATACATATATTATTAAATTATATGCCAGAAAAATGATTGTGTGAGAAGTTGAGTTAAGTGAGAAGCGTAAGAAAGGATCTGAACCCTTGATCACTTTTAATCTTAAACTTAACCATGGATCGCGCTTGATACGAGGATTGATCTGGTGCATCTCATACTAATGTGTATCCAATGGTGGAGATTTTTTCTTACGTTTCTCACCTTGATTCTCCTTCTTGACGAAAGATCGTGTGAGAACCAGAGTTAAAGTGAGAAGCGTAAGAGGGGATCTGGACCCTTGATCACCTTTAATATTAAACACACCCATGAATTGCGTCTGATACGAGGATTGATCTGGTGCATCTCATCCTAATATACATCCATGGGTGGAGATCTCTTCTTACGCTTCTCACCGGAACCTAACCCTTACATAACATGAAGTAAAACTTCTTAAAAGTCACTTATTAAGCATAAGATACTAGCTATTATTGATACATAATCACTTAACATTATGTCTTTCATCTTACATGTGAACTTAATTATCTATATTTTTATTTGTCCCAAAATAAGTGTTCAAACTGAATATAACCTCGTGTTTAGTTGCCATCATTGAATTTGGAACCTTAAAGGAACTACCAAAGATAAGCCAAAGGAACAAGGGGGGGGGGGGGGGGGGGGTTAGTCAGGGCCTAAGATTAGGCTGAAAGGCATAGTCGATGGAGAACATGTAAATATTTTGTACAACCCTTGTTGGTCCTCGGACACGGAGGAGGCTATGCTACCAAAAGATGGTTATGGATTTAAGGACGTAAGGTGACCCTACTGATGAGGGTAAAAAAGGTATAAAAAAAGCCTCGAGCCAATGTTGAGTCCTAAACACTACGACGTCCAGTGGCGGATCCTGAAAATTAATGGGGTGGGGGCACGTTAGATAGGTTTTGGGGAGGGAAGCATATGACCATATGGGAGTGGGGGAAAACTATATAAGACGAGAGTGAAAATAGAAAATTTAAGTTAGTCAACAAAAGTTTTTAATTTTTGACTGGAGGCTTTTTCCGAGTGCTTAAAGGCTGGATCTGCCCTTGAAGACGTTGAAGTTACTCATGCCAAAATTCATTACTTTCCTCTTTATCATTAAAAGTAGAGTAAATTACAATTTTCTGTTAATAATTTCTATTTTCATTATTTGGCTTATAAATTATGACATTTATTTTTATAATTTATAATATATTACTATTTTCATCTGTGGTCTAATATAAGGGATTAAAATAATAAAGGTTTGTAAAACACAGAGACTGCAACTACAACAAATTAGGGTGGACTTGGTACGGTACCAAGTTTTTTTTTTTATTACCGTGTACCAATCAATTATAATTGATATATAAAATCTTATACCGTGTACCAACCAATTGTACTTGGTACCGACTTAATTAGTACCAACTTTTTCGATTGATAGATGTTAGTATTGGTTTTGTAACATATGAAAAACTTGCCAATTTTTTTCAAACTTTAAGTAAAATTTTGAGTTTCCAAGTAAGACAATGTTTAACGAGTTTTAATCGCAAAGAATATAACTTTCAAACAATTAAATGTTCAACTAAAATAATTAAAGTTACAAGGTTTTAATATCAAATACATAAAAATACAAAAAACTAATAAAAAGTAAATAAGTCGGTACCATGATAAGACCGTGGTATATGACTTTCAATACCGTGTACGAACCAAGTTTGCATACTTGGTACAGTACTTACAACCGACAATAATCAGTTCCAATTAAGCTGGTACCAATTTAATTGGTACCGTTGATATTTATATTGGTTGGTTTGATTTAGTACAAAATTGAGACATCAAAATAACAATAAATTGTAAATTATACGAACGAAAATTATAATTTCAAAACAACCGAAATGGATATCATAATTTTTAAGGGAGAAAAACATATACAAGTGGAGATGGAGTCAAATGAGGCATGCTTTGAACGTCAATTTCTTGCATGATCAGGACGATCAACGTTGGTCTACTTCCAATCATCCAATGCCTTTTCGAATCTTCTTCCAGCAGTTGAATTTTTTATTCAGCAAACAACAATATTTAATCAGTTGGATAGATATGAAGGATTGATTACTCAATCTAAGTTCAGGTTTGAAACGCAACTCAATTCATCACATCACCAACACTCGTTTCCTTCATTGTTCCTTCGTAATGGCGGCCAATATATACACCAATTCCTCACTTCATTCACGACTAGAAGAAGCTTTTCTTTGTAACCATGAACTTCCTGCAACTGTATTTGGCTTTATTGATTTCATTGACGTCGGCAGCAATATCAACGGCGATATACGCAAGACCCGGATGCAAAGACACGTGTGCGGACCTCCGCATTCCGTACCCGTTTGGAATTGGGGCAGACTGTTATCTCAACGAATGGTATGCTGTTGATTGCAACTCGTCAATACCGTACCTTCACGCGGTAAACGACCTGGAAGTGTTGTCTTTGAATTTGGAGAATCAAACGGTGACGGTTAATGTTTCGATGATTTCTGATTGTGAAAACTTAGTTAGGAATAATAGTCAGATTTTGAGTGTTGACTTGGGTGGGAGTCCCTTTTTGTTTTCCCGAGAAGTGAACAAATTCACGGTGGAGGGGTGTGGAAATGCGTTTATCTCGGAGCAGGAATATCTTCTCACCGGGTGTTCGACGATATGTCAAAACCAAACTAGTAACCCGAGAAATAACTGTTATGGCATCAATTGTTGCCAAACCACCATTCCTTACTATCTTCAGACATATACCGTTGATATTTCAGGCTTGCAAAAGCAAGGTCCTGATGCAGTTTGTGGGTCTGCCTTCCTCGTGGATGAAAAAATGTACTCTGCTGGTGGGTTTTCCGGGCAATCTGCGATCGGCAACTCCTTTGTTCCAATTGCACTTCGGTGGACCCTAAGTCGGCAGGAAGTTAATGGAAACGGTTGTTCTTCAGAAATTGAAAGAGTGGAACTTGATCTTGGAAATGGTACTACTGTGGAATCTTACCGATGTAGTTGTTCGACTTTTGAAGAAGGCAGCCCATATTTGGTTAACGGATGCCAACGTATGCAATCCATTTCACTACAAAGTATTTTGTTTTGTGTTTGTGTTAATTATTCTGATTTTAAAGCCGGGTGCTTTCTTGTTTGTGTGTTTCAGCTGTTGAAGAATGCGCTAATTGTACGAATGGCGCATGTGGGTTAAATGGGGGGAACTTCACCTGCAATCCTTTCAGTCAAGCTAGAAGCAAATCGTCAACCATTGGAGTTATTTTAGGTAAAAGTAGAAAGCTTTTTAGGTACTTCTTTAAATGGTTGAGATGCATAATTTTAACTGTAGTAAATTCTTTTAAAATATCATTGTGTTGAACATGTTGGAGCAGTAATTAAAGCCAATGTATAGTTATTAATATTGTGGGTTAGAAAGAGAGGTGTTTGCATGATGTGCACCATTTTTGTCATTTTTATGTATGTTGGAGGTAGAGGGTGGGTAAGGGGAGGGGGGAAGGGTGACTTTTAGGTTGCTAGAGCCTTATGTTAGATAGTGAGCTGTTTTAGTGTTTCGTATTGTAGGCCTGTTTGTTAGCAACTTAATGAGCTTAATGGGACTCAGCTTATTCGGTCAGCTATACATGACTGTTTGGTAGTGGATTAATGATATAGAAATTGATTGTTAGTAAGCTAATTTAACTGTATGTTAGTCTTCGTTTCCCTTCCAATTTGGTTTATCCTATGTGTCCCTACTTCCTTTTGTGTTGTTGCATGTCTGCACACACACTTATGTTTTGTGCTACTTTTCTCACTTATCTGTCTTCATGGAATCAACCGCTATATCATTTGGATTAGAGGCAAAGGTCTGCATACATCCTACCCCCATGTCTTATCATGTATGGGATATACTCATATGGTTTGGTTTGGTTTATATATGTACGTCGAAAGCTTATAAACACAAATTATAATCATGTTTATTTTAATTCTACGTTTTCACCAAATGCCACTTAAAATTCACCATCTTTAGTTGGTGATCACCTTAATACAAAGTCATAGGAGTCTACTACAGCTCCTATTGGACTGCACCAAACAAGGCCAATATATCCCACACAGAGGTGGTGTGGGCCGGTGGGGGGAGGGGGGAAGATGTATACAGACCTGATCTATACCCCAAAGATTAGTTATTGTCCCCGTGAAGATCCCGACTTGTGAAAAGTGTGCAAAAGAAAGAGACAAATACGATAATTTTTGAAAAACTAGTATGAGTATGCAATAACATACAAACGGAAGAACCATGTAAGTTATGAATAACCAATAACCAAGGGAAGGAAATCTAAACTAGGGCTCTGGTGATGGTCATAGTTTTATATTGTAGCAAAACGTAGGGGCCATTTACTAAACGCTAACTTGGTAAGTGCTTACTGGGTAAGCATGGCAAGGACTGACAATCTTACCTTGTAGACATGGAAAGACAAAACATTCTTACCCGGTAAGTGAGAGTGGTGGCTCTTACCCGGTTAACGCTTACCGGATAAGATTATTGGCTACTATGCCATTTTGGTGGCCGAAAATCTTACGAGGTAAGGTAACGAGAGTTGTGACTCTTATCGGTAAGCGCTTAGTTAGCGCTTACGTTTACCAAACGTCCTCTTGGTCTAAAGCTTTGTATGTTATCTTTGATCTTGAATCTATGAATATCTTGGAATTGGAACTCACCTTTCACATTTATTGCCTTTTGTGCAGGTGTTAGCATAAGCATGGGGGTACTAATTCTTATAGCGACGAGCTTTTCACTTTACAAAGTAGTCCTGAAAATGAAAGATAAGAGACAAAAAGCAAGATTCTTTAAACGAAATGGTGGTCTACTGTTAAAGCAGCAAGAATCGGCCGATGAAAGTTTAGTCGATAAAACCACACTCTTCACGGCCAAGGAGTTGGAGAAGGCGACCGACTACTTCAACGAAAATAGGGTTCTTGGGCGCGGAGGGCAAGGTACAGTGTACAAAGGTATGTTAACCGATGGAAGAATCGTAGCAGTGAAAAGATCGAAGATAGTTGATGAAAGCCAGTTAGAGCAGTTCATCAATGAAGTTGTCATTCTGTCACAAGTCAACCATCGGAACGTGGTCAAACTACTGGGATGTTGTTTAGAAACCGAGGTTCCTCTTCTAGTTTCGGAATTCATCTCAAACGGGACATTGTTTGAGCATATTCATGACGAGAGCGACGAATTCCCGCTCACTTTGAACACGCGATTACGGATTGCTACAGAGATAGCGGGAGCTCTCGCCTACTTGCATTCCGCAACTTCGATTCCCATATACCACAGAGACATCAAATCCACTAATATTCTCGTGGATGATAAATACAGAGCCAAAGTTTCTGATTTTGGAACTTCAAGATTTGTGTCCATTGATCAAACTCATTTGACCACGTTGGTCAAAGGGACATTCGGCTATCTGGATCCAGAATATTTCCAATCTAGCCAGTTCACCGAAAAGAGCGATGTTTATAGTTTTGGAGTCGTTTTGGTTGAGCTTTTAACAGGAGAAAGGCCAATATCTTTAACTAGATTTGGTGAACATAGAAGTTTGGCTACACATTTTATGTCGGCCATGGAAGAAGGCCGGGTGATGTCGGTTATGGATGGAAGGATCGTAAATGAGGGTTGTCGGGGCGAGGTCATGGCAATGGCGAACCTAGCCATGCAATGCCTGAACTTGAACGGCAAGAACAGGCCAACGATGAAAGAAGTAGCATCGGAGTTGGAAAGCATTAGGGCGGCTCACGTACCCTCTGCGATTCAAACTGATTTTAGAAAATCGAAGTACGAAGCCGGAGAAGAAGAAGAATTGATCATGTTATCATATGATTAATGAACGTCAACATCATCGTATATATTGGGTTTGTTTTGGTTTAAGATTTTGTGCGACGTCTCCGGTCGATCCGAGATCCTTTTTATTTTTTTGGTTTAGGTCTTATATTATGTAACGAAAGATTCTTTTTCTTGACCAATGTAACAAATGTTCGGTTTTTTCTATTTTGTACGCATTTTAGCGATGTTTTGTTATCAATTTTATTCCTTTTTGGCTATAGGTTTTGTAACTTTTTTGAGTAAATTACAGATTTGGTCCTTGTGCTATGTAGGCTTTTATGGAATTGGTCCCTAGACTTTATTTATGACGTAGATTACTTGGTGGTATGCAACCTTGTCACGGATTTGGTCCCTGGACCGGATGGCCTTACATCTTTTGCTCCAAGTCTTAGGGCAAACTAGTCATTTCACCAATTTTCTATATCTAAAATTTTACATGGATACAAAAGGGGATTTGCAAGCTCCTTGTAAATATTAAGTTATGAGCTACTAATAACTTCTATCATGGTTTTGAGTTGGATTCGAAATTATTGGGCTAGGTTGTTGCTTTTGGGCTTGGAGCGTTACAAATGGTATCAAAGCCGATGCGTGTACTATCGAAATAGTGGGGCAAACCTCATCAGATATGATGAGTCCTTGAGAGGATGTTTGTAACCTTTTAGGCGAATCCCACATCACCGATTACAAAGGGGAACATTATGTACAGACTTATATTCTTTAGTATTTTTATCTTTCTATCTTTTTTAAGCACCAATTATATTTGGATACATGGCATGACTTTTGAAAACAAAAGAAAAAACCCTCCTCTCCTTTACTATCTGACGGCGTGAACCCATCCCAACCAAACTCCAGTGTCATTTACTAACATCAACACCGTGCGACGAACCTGGCGGATAGTCATTTGATGTATGTGTATGTGTATATGTATTTGATGAATAAATTGTTGACAGAATGAATTATACCATCCGGACACGAGATACATGAATTCTAGTTATGAAAGAGCGGTTAGAATGAGGTTTGGGGAAATTATGTATTGCAGTTAAACTATGGTTGGGGTCGTTTATATTATCTCTAACCCTTGACAAGGAGTTCCAAAATTACTACCGACACCCACCAGTGAAATTGAAATTTGAATATTGATTTATGAACATGTATTTGTTGTCTTGTTGAGGCTATGAATTTGGTGATGTATATGGTATTTATATGCAAAGCTTGTGATCACTAAGCGATTCCATTGCTTAAAAATCTAGTATGTATTAGAGTTGTTCACGAGCAAGATTGTCTGTTACAAAAAGCGGATTTGACTACCAACAAATGGGTAGGTCTGCTAAAATTAATGGGCGGGCATAGGTGATGCAAAAAAGAAATTTGGGTAGGTCTGTCGGACTTGTTAATATTTTCAGAGTAAACTTTAATTTTGGTCTTTTAGGTTTAGTGAAATCTTTAGAAGTGAAACTTGAACTTCAATAAGTTAAGTTTTCATCCTTCGGGTTTGAATTTTGCTTTGAAAATGGGACCTGGCCATCAACGCTCTCAAAAGTCTTTGTTACAACCAGGGGTAAAATTGTCCAACCATATTTTCCCTCTCCTTTTGTACTTTTTTTTTGTAAAAACTATCAAACTATAGAGACCAACTATGTAATTAACTTTAATAAATATATACTATATTGCAGAGCATTTGACAAAAACTTTTAAAAACCATTTTTCATGTACGAAGTACTGTTTATTGATGCATATTACTTAAAATTCAATATTACAAGTAAATTGTACGTAAGTACAACTTATTAAAGCTTCATGTTTGAATTTCTGTAACCAACTATAGATAAACATAATCAAATACAGAATAAACATCTCATTTAAATATAAAAAATCTATAATATAATTAAGATAATCATTAAGTTTTAACAGAATACTTAATTATTATCTTTATAAAGAATTATATAATTAAACATAAATTAAATT